CCCTGTGCTGGTGGGGCGGATGCAGCGCATGCATGGACATCTTGTGTATAGGTGGCAGTTGGGTTGATTTTCTTCTAGCAACACATTGCAAGTGCTCTGCCTCTTCCGTTTCTTCCCCTATTAAATTGGTGCTTCCAAATGAGGGATAATCCTGTATTAACATACCTATACTGGAATATTAAAAGACAGACACCAGGAAAGCCTTCCCGCAGTAGGTGCAATTATTTAGCAAGCATTGCTCCGGAGGTAGGAGATGTGGCTTTGAGTGCTATGTTACCGCACACTGGCTGTTCCCCAGTGCTCCTTGCTGAGGCCGAGCGAAGAGGTTTCCTTTGTCCTGCTGATGAAGCTTCGCTTTGTGGACTCTGAGGCAGGTTTCTACTGGTGTGATCTAACTCTTCTCAAGGACTTCAGTGGAGTGGGCTCTCCTTGGCCAGCACAGGCTGCATGTTCCTGCTCAGGACAAGGCCTGGTGACAGGACAAGTGGTTTGGTGTGGAATAGGTTATTTGAATAGGATCTGCATAGCCATAATCTTTCCTGTAGGCAGTGGCACTTCAATAACAACTTGGAGCAAGCAATCTCTAACAGGCTTCTGTAACTCCTTTCCAAGCAAGAGTCTCATGCTGGCAGCCCATGACTGACTGTAGTATGTTTCAGCTGGGTGGCTGGGTCTCAACCTTGCACCCTAAACCAGATTTCAGAGTGCATGGAGCATCTCCAAGCAGCTGGTAACAGAGCTGGGAAATGTTTGCTCAGACCCCAGTGTCCCTGTAGGCCTTTTCACCAGGGAGAGGGGGCTGAATTTCCACTGCTCTGCCTTGCTGGCAAAGTGAAGGGGAAGAGAAGAGTGAAGAGACCCTGCTCTGCAGCAGATCAGATGTTTGACACCTCACCTGCAAAGTAGGTGAGGCATCACTGCTCCCCAGTGTGAAATCCACCACTCCAGGAAGAAGTGGGACCTGCCTCATGTGTCCTTGAACAGTTGCGGTGGGGAGTCTCACGCTGGTCCTCTTATCACTGGTCAGGCTTTGCTGCATCACAGGGCTTTTAACTCAGGAGCAGTACTGGCAGGAGGATCTTTTCTCCTGGTGTGTGTTGTAATACATCCAACCCCTGCTCCCTGTGTGCTACTGCTGAGCGAGACAGACAGATGTGTTCCAAGGGGGGAAATCTGCTGGTACGATCTGCTTTCCTCTTTTCCCCTCTCCTCCCCTTTGCCTGCGAGGACATGCTTGTTTCTAGGACCTGTTTCTCGTGTTCTGTGGCGATACCAGAAGACAATGACTGGGGAAGCAACTGGAAAGAGCTTGAGCTGGATGCATTGCCTGCGTCTGAACCTACCATATGTTCAGAGACTGCCTCTCCTCTGCCAGCCTGGGATATCTATACATTCATCCTGCTTTCCTGTCCCCTCAGGTGCAGCCATATGCAGTGCCTCAGCCCTGGCGCAGTTCACCAGATGGGTCCGTTGGTGGTGATGGGCTGGCTGGTGCTGGCGTTATCTTCTGTCCCTGGCACCATCTGGGGCTGGCTGGTGCTGGCGTTATCTTCTGTCCCTGGCACCATCTGCAGCCTTGTGGCAAGGGGAGGAACATGCTTGGCTTTTGCCTCGGTGAAACATTCAACCCAAAATGAATGGCCTGAACTTCACCTCTGCTAATGATTGCCCCAAATGAGTTGTGTGGGCTTCAGGCTTTCCAGTGCTGTTTTCCTATCCTGTGTGGCTTGACTCGGAAGATGGCAGTGTCTCTCCTCAAGGAAGTCTGGTAACATATGGTGCCTTACGCTGTCTCATCTCCTGCTCTGGCTGCCTCTCCATCTCTGGGGCGGAGCAGGGATGCATTGACCCTGCCTCTTCTGCTGCCACTGCTGGCCAGCTTGGGTAATACATGACTGTGGGACTTCGCAGCAGTTTCAGATGGTCTGTCTTTCCTCTCTCTGTCTGCAAACTCCTAAGGGCCCAGTTGGTGCTCTGCTTGAAGATATCAGCTCTTCTTCAAACCCAGCCACAGCAGGAGCCAGGGACCAGGACCCTGCCCCAGTGAGAGGCCAGCTGAAGGAGCTGAGCACCAATCCCAGCTTCCAGGGAGGTTATGCATGAGCATGCTTACTTGTGCTCTGAGGGTGGGAGGAAGGGTACTGCAGTCACCAGGAGGAGAGGTTTCTCCATTTTTTGCTGTAGACACCTGGTGCACAGGGATTCTGGCACAGCCATGTGCCTTGCAGGTCCCAGCCTGGGGAATGGTGAGCTGAGGTTTTGCGTTGGGGGCTCATGTCTTCACCTGCCAAAGGCTTGGGCAAACAGTACCCTCCTGGTGCAGAGCAGCCTTTGAAGGATGCTGGTGGGCAGAGGAGGAGGAAGGGTGTCTGTATGTCACAACGGAAGGCAGCTCAGCCAGCTGGAGCCCATGGCTAATGGCAGGAGAGCAGTGGGCAGCCACAGTATTGGCCCCACCAGACCCTGCAGTGCCCCCCTAGGGGAAGGGTACCAGGGCACAGAGGGCATGGCAGCATATTTTGTAGCTGTGGTGTTCAAAATGTCTGCTGGAAGTACTTTTGACTTGCCAGGTCCCCTTTTTCCTGTGGGAGGGGGGAGTTGCATCTCTTCGACCCTCCACCTCCTTGGTGTTGCTGGCTTGCAGCAGGCGCTTTGCAGCAGAAACACGGCCTATCCTCGCTCCAGCAGCAGCCAGTTTGGTTGAATTTTGAGACAAAGGCAGGCTTTTTAGAACAGAAGCACTGCTGGATGTGATGTCGACTTGTCTCCATGTTGTACGCACTGGGGTTGGGCACTACCCAGTGCTTGCATAAAACCCTGGGCATCAGGCTGGGTGGACAGGGTAGATTCTGCCAGCCTGCAGATGACAGGAAGGAAGGGCATGAGGGGAACCACTAGAAGCAATAACCAGGCAGCTCACAGCTTGAGTGCAGTGATCAGGGTGAGATCCCAGTGCAGGGAGCAGGAAAACCATCCAGGCCGGATTTCTTCCCTTTGGATCTGAGCCTTGCTGGGCAGCCAGGTAGATTTGCTGTTAAATGCCGTTAAATTTGCTGGCTAAACGTCATCCTCCTCTGGTTGGGTATGCATCAGCCACCTCGTACCTGTGTGGTCTGAGGGACACTGGGGGCTGCTCCTGCAGTTTGAAGTCCTGCAGCAACATGTGCATGATTCTCAGTGCCTTCTGCGAAAGCCTCCTCCATCCCTCTCTGCTTCCCCAGCCACCACTTCAGAAGCCTGAGTAGGTGTACAAGAGGAGGGAATCACCATGGCTTTAACACCCTAGTCTGGGCTTTGCTTCTCTGAGCTGGGAGCTGTAGAGCAGGAACATGGGTGCAACCAGGAATGTGGGATTGAAGTGGGGGTTTTTTTTCTCTATTCAAAAGGCTGGTGTGGTCCTGTGACTAAAGGGGTCTGCCACTGGATCCGCACCTTCTTCAAGGAAACAGAATACGTACGTTTGAGTTTACATGCACAGTGTTAAGTTCTTTTGATAAAGCAGAATAAAATTATTTTGTTACCATTTCCTTGGTGGCTTTATGCATCCTAGGGCTGGTGTCACTGTAGGCAGGTGGAGGGGGGGCATCTATGCCTCTCACCCTGCAGTAATGCTGCGTCTAGTTGTGTGTCCCCAGCTGCAGTGACTGCCACCCTAGGAGCCCCGTAAGCAGCCTGGGCTCAAAGAAAACCACATGATGGTGCTGAGCAGCAGGAGTAGCACATAGTGTTCTGCTCTGTTCCTGCTGTCATCCTCTGAAGCTCATGGCGGGAAGGGAGCCCTGTTGGCCCTTGGGCCCCCACCGTAGCTGCCCTTTTAACTCGCATGCTGCCAGTGCGGGAGCGTGTCCCAAGCAGGCATGGCTGCTCTGTGCCAGCAGTGTCCTTGGGGACTGTGGATGGGCCCCTGAGCACTGATGTCACCCGCAAGCATGAATGCTTGTCTTGGACCAGGATGATGGGAGCTGAGCTGGTGGTGGGAGTTGCAGTGGCTGGTCGTTGGTCACAGAGAGAGCCCAGGATCTGTTTTGGCAGCTGAGGCTGGGGCTCACAGAGACTTGCTGCAGCCCCTGTGACAGCCTCGCTCTGTGCAGCTGGCAGGCAGTGCTGCCATTTGGCCCCTGTGGCTCCAACACAGGATTTGGGGGCTCAGCTCAAGCCCTTCTTCCTTCCCCCTGTCTCCACCCATGCCCAGGAGCTCTGGGCAGCTCACTGCCTGCTGCCACCCTCTTGCCCCACTGTCTGTGCTGCCCACTTCTGCCGAGAGACACTCCACAACACCACTACCTTCAGTCTTTATTGGTATAAAAGCCTTCAACCTAAATCATATAAAAAATGGGTAGGCCTGGTTTCACAACAGATGGCTCAAAATGGTCACATAAGGGTCATAAGTTAATGGCTACAGTAAAAAGGCTCCCAGGAAGTTCCCTTTCAGGAGAACGGTAACTCAAGTGATAAGCTCAGAGAGAAAAGCCCTACAGGGAAGCCAAGCCCAGCTTGGACCTGCCAAAGCCCCTAGCGAGACCCCCCGTGTGACTGTCCCCAGCCAGGGCAGTGGCCCTGGGGCACCATCCCTGCGCTCCAGCACTTCTGCCCTGGCCAGCCTGGCGGGCGATGCCAGGAACTCCTCGCCACGGCCCCAGCGGCGAAGGGGCAGGAGGAGCAGGACACATTCAGGTCATCGGGAGAGAAGGCAGCAGCTCTCAGGGCACAGGAGAGCCTGGACCAGCTCAGGGCTGGCCTCAAAACCAGAGCTGGCGTCGTCTCCGCTCCTGGTCTCCTCATGAAGCCCCCCAGCTGACAGCTCTCCCTGGGCCAGCCATGAGGCTACGAAGTCTGTTAAGGCACAACTCAAAAATCCGTAAACACTGGTGCGCTGCCGGGGGAGGGTCTGGTGAGCGATTCAAGTAAGGGTGGAAGCCGGACGGCGGCTCCCCAGCTGTGCCACCCAAGCACCAGAGCCAGCAACTCCTCAGCCGCGGTGGCGGATGGAGCATCCTTGGTCACCTCCTGGCTGGGGGCAGCTTCAGGGCCACCTTCGGGGGGACGCCCCGCTGAAAGACCGAGGGGGTTGTCATCGGAGAGCACGGGAGGGCTGGTCCTGGCGGCCCCTCGCCGCGGCACTGCGCCTTGCTCTTCAGCGCTGGGAGAGGCTTGCTGGGCGGCTTTGGCTTCGCCTGGTGGGAAGAGAGGAGAGACCCGAGTCCCTCGCCTGGGCGCCGGGGAAGGACCCGGAGAGGGTCGGGGGGCAGAGGAAGGCCCCCTCCCCGTCATCAGTCGCCTGGGCCTCCCCATGGATGCACCCCACATGTCCGGGGCCGGTCAGGCCAGGGGGAGGCTGGCGGGGGGCGATGTCTGAGAGCAGCCCCCGGCTGCAGGAAGGACAGGCCACCCCGCTGCGAGGCAGCAGTGGCTTTTGGAGGAGCGGTTACCTGCGGGGGCTGTCCTGGAGAGCCTGGAGATGTCACCCGGGGGGCTGGCGCCGGCGGCTGCAGGGTCAGCAAAACCCGGGGTGAGAGGCCGCCCTCCCACCCAGGCCACGGGGGCTGCCCCGCGCGGGGGCTTTGTTCAGCTCCCTTACCTGCGGGGCCGGGCGGCAGGGCCCGAGGGTCTTGGCGTCCCGCGGGGCTGCCGTGCTGCTGAGCAGGTTGGGATGGCCGATGTCACGGCGGGACAGCTGGCGGCGGGGGGGTCGCGTCCGGCCGCCCTCCTGGAAGAGTGGGTTGGCGAGGCCAGCGGCAGGCCCGCCGGAGGTCCTGTGGGGCACAGGGACAATGGGGGACTGCTCCGGGCACACCCCGAGCTCAGCCTGTGCGGCCGTGGCTCAACACCTCTGTGGGGCGGTTGGGGGGGGGGAATTACCCTTTCTGAAAGCGCCTCGTCCCCCTGCCTCTGAGGAGCACAACCCCACTGCCGAGCAGGATGCCAGAGAGCCCCAGCACGGCCAGCACAGCCGCCAAGACCACGCCGCCGCTCCCTGTGGAGACCCGGTCGGCGTCGGGACAGGCACCCCTCCAAGCCAGGGATGCCCCGTGGGGACGGAGCAGCGCCCACCGGCACCACGGCAGGGTGCCGACCCCCTCCCCAGGCTCCCTTCCTGGCACACGCACCGGGCCGAGGGAGCTGGTGCCGGCCACGCACAGGGGGTGCCGTACCTGCTGCCATCTCCGAAATCTTCCGTTCGCAGTAGGGTGCTGCCCAGCCTGGCTCGCAGTGACACTCCCGCTTGTGGTTGCACACCTGAGATAAGGAAGGAAAGCGTCAGGGTGGTGGACATCCCGTAGGGGCTGGGACCACCGCCCAGGCCCCACAGCTGTTCTGGGAGAGGACGATCCCACAGCATACCCCATGGTTGTTGCACTTGGCCGAGCAGTTCTTGTTGCCATAGACCAGGAGGTTCTGGCAGCGCCCAGCATAGCAGACCTGGGGACAGGCAGGGGAGGTCTGAGGCTGCCCCGGGGTCCCCACAGCCGGTGGTGACCCCCCCCACCACCCCGGCACGGCAGTCAGCACACTCACCATCTCCTCGCCACACTTGGCGCCTGTGGGCACCAGCCTGAGCTTGGCCACCACCTCATTGGCATCGTTGCTAGCGATGACCGCCTTGCACTTGAAGCGGCCAAAAAAGAGGGAGTAGGAGCCGTCACCAAGGACGGGGCTGGTGTTGTCACTCAGGCACAACAGCGTGCCACACTTCACGTCCCTGTGGGAGAAGCAGCCATGAGCAGCGGTGGTGGGGGTGGCAGGGGGCTGGGGAGCTTCACTTGGCCCTGCAATGCTGTCGCCGGACATGGATACCACCCCCACCCCACCTCCACCCCCCCAAGCTCCTTACTTGGGGCTGCAGGGCCGCTTCCCATACTCAGTGAGGCAGTGGAGGTGAAGATGTTGCTCGCTGTTGTGCCTAAAGCAGACATCAGGAGCCACCTGGGCCTCTGTGGGATACACAGAAAGCATCACAAGGAGCCAGAGCCCACAGCAAGCCAGTGGTGCCAGCACCGGTGGCCACACTTTAGGGTCAAGAGCCATAGCATGCCAGCTAGGGATGCAGGAGGGGACCGCAGCCGAGCAATTCCCTGGCCCGAGGAGCCGGGGCTCCGAGCACATCAACCAGCACGTGGGATGAGGAGGGTGGGCAGGGTGGAGGAGTCACTACCTGCGCCCCAGAGCGCGCGGCACTGCTCGCCATGCGAGGGGCAGGCCCCGTTGTAGCAGTAGCCATTGCCATTCTGGCAGGGGATGCCGTTCTCCTGGAATACGTCCTCTGGGCACTCAGCGCTGAGGCCAGTGCAGTGCTCAGTCAGGTCACAGTCGTTCTTGCTGGCCCGGCAGAGTGCACCAGCAGCCTTCACCTGCACAGAAAAGGGGACGTTGGTACTGCCTCAATGCTCTCGCATCCTCAGAGCCACGCAGGCACCACAGCCTGGCAGCACCCTGGTCTTCATAACATCTCCCAGCACCCCACAGATCCAGACACGGCAGATTGTGCCACGCTGGCACAAAGACATTTGCTATTGACTGAGCTACTGCATAGGATGGAGACACCATCAGGCCTCAGATGGGGTCTTCCCATAGTTAAATCTCTCCCTGCAGGCAACACCTTGTGCTTTGCTTTTAGTCTGGACTTGTCCCAGGGTCCTCTTCTAGCCCCGTCTCTTCACATCAAGGCATTTCTTATGCCTGTGTGCAGGAACCAATGCATGTAACGCAACTTTCTCTTGGATGAATGGAGCAGGTTGGTTTCCTGGACCAGAAATGGACCATGTTGACCTCTTCTGAGCATTGCCCAGTTCTTCAACACCTTTCATCCTGCACCTAATCTAACAGAGCCAGGGGACCTGGGCTCCAGGATGCCAGAAACAGAGGCTGCTTCACCTTCCTAGCCAATTCAACCCGAGATGCTGACTGTCTGTGTAGCGAGAGCATTGAATGGAAAGTGTGATTTCCCCCCACACAAACCATTGGGTACGTTTGGCTCTGGGCAGGCTGCTCTGGGCAGGTCCTTCAGGCTCTCCAACAGGCTATGGACACACCTTGCCTCGACTCTGAAGTTCTGGAGGAGCGCGGGGCAGGACTGCACACCCACCAGCTCCCTTCCCTGCCAAGCTGGTCGCCCTGCTGGCAGCAGTACCTTGCAGTCCTGGCAGCAGTCCCCCCGGGCACACTCGGCTCCCTCTCTCAGCTGGCAAGTGGTGGCATTGCAGCAGCGGTCGGAGCACTCCTGCAAGACAGGGAGGGACTGAAACACTCCCAAAAGCCCCCCGAAAGACCCTTTTTTCTTCCCTTCTGGGGGTACCCAGTTGCCACCTCACCAGATGCCAATGGCATTGTAGGTGCCACGGGCTGAACCATGGGGCAAAACCACAGCATCATCCCACGTGTGAACCATTCCTGCCTCCTCTTGATCCCCCATTACCAACACCAAACCAAAGGACCAGAAGAGATTTTTTTCGGAAAATGGTGCCTGACCTGGGTCCCTGCTCTCTGGTAGCACCCTTTGCACATCTCCAGGAAGGAGAAAACAGGAGGATCTCTGTGCTCTCTGCATTGGGGGAGCATCCCTTCAGGTCCCAGAGCACGGCTGTGACCCAGGGATTTATCCCAAAGACATCACCTGGCCATTTGTCTCAAATCTCCCCCCTGCAATGCAGTGATGGGCTGCTAGGGGTGAGGAAAAGCTGATCATGGCTCCTGAAAGGACAACATGCCATGATGTCCCCCTCCTTGGATCACCTCTTTGGAGGATATGTTGGGGGGATGTCCATCTTTCCTAGGCATGCACCTGCTAAAATCACAGCCAGCTACGTGAAGTAGGGGGCACACATCCAAGTTAACAAATATCCTCCACAAGTTATTTTTCAGCAGAAGCATCAGGAACATGAGGAAGATGAGTCTTGCAAAGCACGATGTCCAGGGAAGAGGCTTGCATGACCTTTTCCAAGTCTGAATTACAGGTCTGAGGTCCCTGCCACTCACCCACCTTCCCGGGCTCTCAGAGAGCATCCCTACCTCTGGCGTGCCACAGTCGCACTGCTCTCCCCGCTCCACAAACTGGTTCCCGCACACTGGCCCCCCGTACAGCTCATCTGCCCTAGGGACGTTCAGCAGGCAGCTGGTCCTGGGGTCCCCGAGGAACTGCCACATGTCCTGCTCACTGCAGCGGCTGAAGAGCTTGGGGTAAACCAAGCTGAAGGGGCACAAAAACAGGCAGTCATGAGCAGAGATGCGAGCCTGAGGACCCCCACACCCACCAGGCCAGGGAGAAGTTGGAGAGCCACCAACAGACTCAAAGGCACCAATGGACCTTTGAAATACATCTTCAAGTGGAGTGTCCACCCAGACCTGACCACCTCATGGGCTTCACCCCATCAGGACAGTGCTGGAGGACACCTTGAAATATTTGCTGCCCAGGGATATTCCCCTTTCTCCTTCACTCACCCAACACTCGCCGCCATGACGCATCCTCCATCAGCTTTGGGGACAGGACAGCGGCAGCCAGCAACATCTTCATCATGGGACATTCCCAGGTTGTGCCCCATCTCATGAGCCATGGTGGACGCAGCGCCGATAGGATTTGTGCTGTGGTCCTGTAGGACAAGAAGTACAGTGTGGTTCAAATGCTCTCCACAGCATCTCCACGGGGCCCACCAGGGCTCTTCAATTACTCAGTGCCAGGTCTCGCTGCTGTCTGCAATTCATTCCCTAATGCTGCCATGCTGTGGTAAAGCCCCAACACTTCTCTGGGGGGTCAGTCGCTCAAGGGTTGGAGATGCCAGGGACCAGACCCAGCCCTAAGGCGGTGGAGGGGGAAAGCTGGAGACCAGTGGAGGAGAGACCCGCTCTGGAAAATACAATGCAGGGAGCGCAGACCATGGGACTGCTGCTGCCCTCCCGGCACATGCCCAGGCAGTGGGACCCACCTGGTTGACACCGCCTGAGTCCCTGGTGCACATCACAAGCTTCTTGGCAAGCCCTACGGTCGTGCCGTGGAAGTCTATGCCCCTGTGGGATTGAGATGCCACCATGGCCATGTGGCCTGGGTGGCAGCAGGGCTGCAAGGATGGCAAGGTGATGGCCCCCCGTTCTTACGTGATCAGCTGGGCATTGTCGTGTGGCTTCCTCCGCAGCAGTTCTGCCTCCCGCCAGTGGAGGAAGTTGTCCAGTGTCACCTCTGGGTTGGGACTGACCACGATTTTGTCCTTGTGGCTCCACACCTCCAAGCCAATCAAGGCCACCCGCAGGTGAAGAGGCTGATAAAGCTGGAGCGGGAGACAGCCCAGAGGGAGCACTTGGATTTGAGCTGCACAAGCAGAGGGAAGGTGCCACATCCCCTGGGGAAACACAGCCAAGCCCAGGACCCCACCTCACTCTGTAATATCAGCTCTGTCACCCCCTCAATAAATAACACAAGCCGGGGTGACCACATAGACAGGGTTTACCCCAGGGACCTCTGGGCTCCCTCTTGGCCAATGTGCTGCCCCCACGCTGCTGACCAAAGAGTGGGGCTGACGCAAGGCAAGCAGAAACCCCACCTTGGTGCACTGCATCCATTCCCCTCCCCTCATTAGCACCTGCTCCAGCTTGAGAGTGGCTGTGGGATGTGCTCCCAGGGGTTACGAAAAGAAATTTCTCTCCCATTCCCTTACGAGAGAGCTGGGAGGCAGCCGTCCCATGCTCCTGAGGCCCCAGGGCTGAGCTGCTTGTCATGTCCACTTTGCTCATCCTGTTGGCCAAGGGAGCTGGTCACCCTGCGGCAGCCCACCTGCGGGCTTGAGATTGGCTCTAGCTCCATCACCCTACCCATGCCAATCTCTCCTGTGCCACATTCATGCCGATGCTGCCACTGCGGGGCATGTGTGGGAGCTGGGAGAGCAGACCCCTGGGCTCACCTTGTCAACGTGGTTCACGATTTCCTTCATGCGGTTCTGCACTGTGCGCAAGTCCTTGTGTTTCCTGAACTATGGGAAGGACACAGAGAGATTTCCAGGCTGGCTTCGACCTCCTCGCTGCAGTGGATGACAGTGAAAATGCAAGCACCAGCTCGCCGCCCACCCCTCTTACCTCCTCATTGTCCACAACCAGGACCAGCTCCACGTATCGGGGTCCTTTGTGTAACGGAGCTGATTTCTGGAAGGGAAGAGGAAAGTGAGCGCAAACAGGGGCTCAGCTCTGCAGCTTGCTGACCCCTTCAGTTGACCCTCCTGTGGGATGCATTGGATCCTGGGGCATCTTCCAATATTACTCAAGGCTAGTAGGTCTTCTAGCTCTGCTTTCTGACGTTACTTTGCTTTACTTTCAGACATCTTCCAACATACAAGGAAAAACCCAAGCCTGCTAGTGAGATAAGGCACGAGAGAGGCTCTGCAAGCATCACGGAGCTCATGGGGTAGGAGGATGCTCCTGCTAATGGTACAGGATCTGAGGACTTGTTCTCACCAGGAGCTAGGCCACTGGGAGCAACCGTGTTTGGAACCAACAACATGTGGGAGGGGAGCATCTCCAAGAGATGCGGTATGACCCCACTCCTCTCCTGGACTTCACAGGACCTAGGCTCTCGCAAACTCAGCTACAGGAAGGAGAAGCAATGCAATCCTTAACCCAGCGGTAGAGCTTCATGGCTGCAGGAATTTTCGGTTCGTGGTCATATTCCAGGGTGGCACCAGACTCTTGACACGTGCCGTGCTTCCCCCGCAGGTGAGCTGCTCTGTACACGGCATGCCGGCCGGCCGCATCCTCCTCCAGAGGCTCCAGCAGGAAGGTGGTCTCATTCACCCGGAAAAACCCACTGCCAAGAGAGAGGGCAGGCATCAGGTTGGGGAGATATCCAGCAGGACACGGACAGACCCTACATGCACCCCTGCAAGTGCCTGTGATACAAAATCCCAGCTAGGAAACCACCCAACCCCTTCATGGTTCCCAAAGGCAGCTTGGATGAGCTACAGGCCACTAGTGGGATGTGACAGTCAGGTCCTTCTGGCCAAGTGCATGAAAGTGCACTCAATGCAAAGTCCCAAGCAGCCCTTGGGTGGTGCATGAAGGCCCACACGGCTGTGCAGAGACGTACGGGGTGCAGAAGCTCACAGCAACATGAGGGACTGGATGCCTTTTCCCTGCAACCTTGCCTGGCCCAAGAGCACGTCAAGGAGGTGCTGCAGGATGGAGCTGAGCTGGGGCATGCCAGGAGATGGGGAGCGATAGGAAACATGTCCACACAATTTGCTTTCAGAGGCTGCAGAAGCACCGGTTGAACAAAAGCATTGTTAGGGAGGCTGGAAACTGTCTGCCGGGCTGGGAGGGAGCAAACCATGGCACAGTTATCTGTGGCTGGTAGCAAGGGGAGTATCCTGTACTTTGAGCAGCAGAAATGTCCCAGGGTTCAGCAAGGAGAACTGCCCGGTGATGCCAGGCCAGGTTTAACACAGCATTTCTGCTGAGCAGCTCTGGCCTTCAGGATGATTTCTGTAAGGTGTCCCATGTCCCACGTGCTTTGTCTGTATTGTCCTTGTCTCTTGTCCTCCCTTTGCACATCTTGTCCTCCTACTATACAAAGATTTCAAGTGTCCCATGTATGCACAAGCTGTGCGAACCAGGGTCTCCGCAGACATAACCCCTGCTTTCAAAGTGAGGAGATGGCTGCCAAGCAGCTCCAGCAGGTGTTTCTCCTGCAAATGGGTATTTGCAGGTCCCTGGGTGCTCCAGGGACCACCCGTCCTCCACACACATGCCCCTGCAAGGGACCTGTTACTCTCTGGCTTACTCTCTTGCAATGTCTGGCTGCCAGCTGATCTTAAAAGAAAGAGAACACCAGAGTACGAATCTTCCATGGCAAACTGAGCAACCTTGTGTGGACCTGGTGGCTTGGGTTACCCTGCAAGGATGCTTTCTGCTGTTAAATGAAGGTAGACCCAAGGCAGCTGTTGAGGAATGAGCACCAGCACAGTCAGCAGGCGGTGGGTAGAGGGAGACGCAGCTGGCCTGATGCACCGTATGCTTTCCTTTTCCTTTGGAAAGGCACTTGGCCATCAGCAATAGGAGCTCGGCATGGCCCAGAGGTGCAGGCTGCCTGCAAGCCAGTGCATCACCATGAGCACACCTTTGTGCCTCTGGCTGCAGCAGTCGGGGCAAGTTTGGTCTGGTCTGCCCTGAGAAGAAAGGATGGATCCAGGATAAGCTGTGCCTTGCTGCCCAGGGAGGGCACTCCTGCCCGGAGCTCCTGTCATGCTCAGGTTTCCAGTCTCATCCCGTGCCATGAATCAACCCCTCAGAAACGGCAGGCTTAGCTGCAAAATGCTGCGCGCCTTTCCTGCTGGGCGCCGAGCCAGGGCGGTCAGCAATCCCACCGCCAGCAGGAAAAGGGATGTCGTCTTCTCTTCCTTGGGTGAAAGCTGAGCTCTCCCTCCACCAGCACAGCTCCAGCCGCCTGGGGCTTGGTCGCACCGGCTCAGCATTACGTGGCACCGCGTCCACCAGGAGAAGCTTCGTGGTGTACACCAAGGCCGGACTTGATGCTGTGCTCCGGCCAGCCACAGTGCCCCAGGGGAGTCGGAGGTCCTACCTGAGCCCGCTGCAGGTGCTGATGCTCACTGCCGAGTCAGCGTATCCTTGCACGTGGCCCTGATAAAAGCAGTGATCCTGAAAGAGAGGTGTAAAGGGGGTCAGCATGGTGGGACCCCACAGGAGCGGGAAAACTGCTCTGCCTGGAGCCAGCCCCATACCTGAACGTCTGGCTTCTCCGTGATCTCTGTGCCGCTGGCTGAGTAGTGTGTCTCAGTGTAGTGCTGCCCCAGCAGCTCCCTGCAGAATGGGGAAGGGGCATCAGCAGTGACCCCAGTTTTGGGGAGTGGATGGAAAGCTTTGGGGATAAGGTTTGTCAGGTTGAGTATGGTGGGCCCGTGACCTCCCTGGGCAGGTTTGGCAAGGAGGAAAAAAAATGCAGTATTTTGCTAGCGAGGGTGTGGGCTGAGGGCTTAGATCACCAGTGCAGTGACACCAGACCTTGGAGAATTGATGTTCATGGCAAGGGTGGGAATCGAGCCTCTCCTGGGCCATCCCACCATGCCCACCCATACTCACTTGTTCTTCTCCAGCCGCAGGAGGTAGTCCCTGCCTTCGGCACGGATGCTGTAGAGGACGTGGTCTGGGTAGATGCTCTGCATGAAAGATAGATGACATCATCACAGATCTGCTGTCACCAGAAGCAAAAGCTACAGACAAGACGACCTCTTGGCCCCTGTCCTGCCCAGAAAGGCGATGGGGTCTGCATGCACCCCACTGGAAGGCAGCTGCGGGACAGGGAGCCTGGCTGCTCACCCTGGAGGCATCCAGCAAAGACACAGGAAATCAGAAGAGAATAAAGAAAGCATGTGGGCAATAACGCAAATCCCTGGCACATCCTGAGATAAAGAACAGGTCACCAGGAATGAAAAGGAGTCAGCAAAGTCTGGTTTCCCTTGTCTGACACATGGCTGCAGATGGCTGTGCCAGAAACTGAGGTTTCCTACTCATCAACGACAAAGCTCCTTTTTTAGGGACTGAGTTCAGCACTTACTCATGGGCTGAACCACAAATATCCCTGGTGCCCAATGGCTCTCATCAGCAGAGACTTCCTTATCTCTGACTGACCTAACATGCAGCATCTCTTGGTTCTTGTCTGCTACTGAAAGCAGATTTTAGTATCACCATGTGCCAGATCCCCCTAGTGCTGGTGGAAGGGACCTCAAGGTATCTCGAGTCCAACCTGCAGTCACTATGGATGGGTCAGGGTGGCCGTGGCTCAGCCCAGCTGAGCCCTGAACCCCCAGGATGGCAGTGTCCCTCCAGAAGAAGTGGTTCCCTTTGGGTTGTCTTGTGATCTCCACCTGCAGAGGTTGGGCCACAGACCTCCAGAGGTCCTGTCCCACTGGGGCCACTGAGAGACATAATGATCCCTTGCGTGGTGCCCCATATCAGGCTGCACCTTTGGCACCAGGGACCTCCTCAGCCACCACTGCAGCCCAGAGACCTCTCCTGAGGGCACATCTTCAGCTCTTATGGGATCCTGGGGTGGAGATCTGAGCAAAAGGCAAAGCAAGCATCTTCTGCAGGGCCAGCATTCCTCCCAGATGAGGTGTGTGGCCTCTCCCCAAGAAGAATGACAGCACCTGCTGTCATACCATGGCTCAGCACTCCCAGGGGAATGATCTGCAAGCGGGTGGGAGCTGGGGCTGAGCAGAAAGTCCCGCTGACTCAGCGCCAGCAGGGCCAGGTGAGAGGGTTTGCACATCACTCAGTCACCCACAACTCCACCCAGTTTGCATTTCCAATCTGAAGCAATGGTCTGCCAGCCACGAAACATCCTCTCCGCATGATGAGCAGGTTGCAACAAGCTGGCCAGGCAGCCCCGGCTGCAGGCAGGGGCACTGCCGGCATGCAAGCATGCTCATGGGTCCCTGAAATTCTTCTCTTATGAACAGCATCTCGCGCCTGACGTGGCCGTCCCGTCCTGTGTCTGCCGACAAAGCGATGCTTTGTTATTGTTGGCAGCGCCGGAGCCAGAAGAGGTCTTAAGAAATGGCAGGAAAGCACTTGGAAGGGGTTGGTGGGTCAGAGACCGTCTCTTGGAGACAACCGCAGGGCAAGTTTAAAAAAAAAAAGCCTGATAAAGCTTCTCTGAATCATCCCTTTCCTTATTAGCATGAGCTTTGCAAGGGCTCCAGATGGGAAGGCTTTGAAAGCGCAGGCAGCTCAGCCCTGCCCCTACCCGAGCCCTGCTAACCTGGTGACCGTGCTGAGAAAGCAAAGCAGAGCTGTGGCCACAGCACACAGAGAGGAGGGATTTCTTCCAACTGGTCTGATTAAGAGATCCAGAGAGCTTGCAGAGGATCGGGATGGGATGCCAACTGGGTGGGAAGAGGTGATGAGTCTCGCTAGGACAGTAGGGATGGGGCTTATTGTACCATGCCATAGATCAGAGGAGCTGCAGCACAAGAGAGGAGGAAAAGAAGGTAGGTCGCTGGGCCACCACTGTCCCTTGCTCCTGCTCCATCTGGCCCCACTGCTCGCTCTGCAATGTCCTGCTGCTTCCTGCAGAGCCCCAGGCTGGGCTGGCAGGAGCTTGGCTGTCTCCACCCAGGCAAAGGACTTGCCTCTTTGCATCAGCTGGCTCTGGGATGTGGCGGGGGAGATCAGCAGGGCTGTGCAAGCACAGGTGCACTGGGGAAGAAGCCGGCAGCTTGCAACACCAGATCTTACACATGCTGGAAACCATCTAGCTGCTTCAATACAGCTCTTTGAAATGCTGGAGCATGGGGATGAGAGAGATGTCACTTCTGCGATCAAGAGCATGTAACTATAAATCTTTTTGAAGGCCCTTCTTGCTTTCTTTCTCATGAAGAATGCAGGTTTGCCACATGCCCTGTCATGCCCCTGCTAAAAAGACCATGGCCTGTGGGAAGGCTGGCATCCCAGGAGATCCTGTGCTGCAGGATGCAGGTCTCCACCCTGTCTGCAGGGCTGAACATTTTGATTTAAGCAAAGCCAGATGGGAGCTGGTCTGCTTCAAACCTCACCTGGGAGACGTTCTGCTGGACCAACCCCATGTGTCCCAACTGCTCTGATCCCAGAACTGCTCTTGGCCCATGCCCATCCCAGCCAGAGACTGCTAATGCAAAGCCACAGGAGGAGCTGGCACAGAAAACACCCATCCAGCTACCTGTCTCCACTTCAAAGAGGGGCTTGGTGGTGGTCAAGCCTTGCTGAGAACCGCTTCCCCACCAAGGTTACTGGGAAAGCAAACCCAAAATTTGTCCCAGAGGAGGAAAATGGCTTGGAAGGCAGAAGTCCTCAAACCCTCAACACAGCAGGTTTGGGAGGTCCAAGGACTGCCCAATCCAAGAAGACTGGGACCAGACACCACCCATGGTTGTTCCAAAGACGATGGCTCAAGGCTGGTATCTTCTCCCGTGCTGTGGAAAGCAAAGGGACCCTGAGATGGGTGAGCTCCCTTTTCTGGTGGGATCCATGCAGAGCCGCCTGGCACGCCCGGCACAGATGGTGTCTCTAAATAGCCTGGGGAATGTTTATCTCGTGGACAAGTTTAGGTTTCTAGAGCAGAGAAAACAGATGCTTTCAGGGAGTGTTTTGAAGCTAGTTTATCAGAAAGAGTTTGAATCACAGATGAATGTGCTGTACAAAGAGTTTACTAGGAAATAAATGTCCCCAGCCCCTCCATCTCATCAGGTGCTGAAGTCGGTGGTTTTCAGTCCTAGAAAATGAATCCATGTATTTAGCTGAATTTCACTTTAAGGCAATGTGGAAAGCATCTCTGAGGTCAAGGCCATCATCCTATGGACGTCAACCCCCAAGCACTCAAAATTCCTGAGTCAAACCCCATTCCTTCCCCAAATTACAAGCTTTCCCAAGAAAAATAACACTGGCTTGCTTTCATGTGGATTTCTGCAACTTTCTGATTCTTATTTCCCTGTCCCAAAGGATGAAAAAAACCCAACTTGAGCAAACACAGCAAGAAAAGTGCTTACAGCTCAATGAGGCTTTGCAAATCCCTCCTTAAGCAAAGACCAGATGTCACAAGATCACTGCAAGGCTGCAAGAGGTGGCACCGCTGAGTAATGTTTCCAAAGAAAGCATTGGAGAAAGCAGCCCCCCCCTCTCCAAGTCCACCGTGCTATCCGCAGTTCCTATTTTGACTCAAAACAGTCCAGGAAAGCTGATTTGATCAACTTTTTCAAGATCTCCACCCTCTGGGATGGAAGCAATGCAAGAAAATGTGCGGCAGGTCATTCTGCTGGCACAGAGCTAAGGGCATCCAGCTCCGAGCCCAGTGGTGGGCCAAGGGTCTCTGCTGATTGCAATGCCCCCCCAGACCCCCTGCAAAGCAGCGAGGGCAGCTGTGCCAAGGCGGTATTTGGGAGGTGACAATACTCACCAGTGGTGCAGAGAGGTCCCTCTTCCCCCGAGGTGCCGGCACCTTGCGCGGCAACACCGTCTCATACGTCTCGACATGGGCGAGCTTCTCCTCCAGCCTGGCAGTGGCGCCTGGGAAAAGTCAAAGGGCTTTGAGCCAGGATGCCCAGAAACAACTCAGTCAGGGGGTAATGGAAGCGGCCAACCTCAAGGCGCAGGCAAGAGCCGAAATAGCAAGTCCTGAAATACCTGCTGGGAATGCAACTCCCTGACGGGCTCCAGAGATGCTCCAGCCCCACCCCCAGCCCCAGCGCCCACAGCGCGCTCAGCATCACTGACAGGCAAGCGGGTTCCTTCAAAGGCTGGAAAAACCCTGCTGAGACCCTGGTGCGTAAATAAAGACGGAGGTTTTTCAGCTCCCCATCTTGATGCCACAGTTTGTGACTTGGCGTCTGGCGGCTGCCGGGGGCTGTGTTTTGGAGAACGGCTTGTGTCTGGGCCGGCTCAGCCCTCCTCCCATCCTCTTTTTTTTTGATGTCAGGAGACATTTCTGCAATAAAACCCTTCTCCTCCCCCTGAAGCCCCGACCTGCGAGCTCATGCCGCAGCCCGGCCCGTGCTCCCAGGGTCAGATGGGGCCAGCGGAGCCGGTGGCGAGGCAGCGACAGAGCAGGGTGCTCCGTCTGCGGGTGCCTGGCGGCCTTCGCCCACTGCGCCCGAGCGGGAGCCAGGATCCTCATCACCACCCCCTCGGCCGGCTGAGTCACCAGGCGTCCCCCCCGCCAGCACGCCGCAGGCTGGCGGTGACAAATTTCCCCTCGCTCACTGGAGCCTCGTCGCCGAGGTGCCTTTACATAACGGTGGGCACCCCATCTGTGTGGGGCGACATGGCGGGGGGGGGGGCAGAGGTCACGGAAAGCGTCCCTCCGCGCTGGGGCCGGCTGCCAGCCGTGGGAGGCGAGACGGGTCCTCGAAGCCCCGTTCTCCATCCTTCGCCCTAGAGTCAGCCTGGGGAGGCAATGTCAGCGACACCCGCCTCAGTCCCCGGTGACCCCCGGGCTCAGAAGGAGCCGAGACCTTGCCGAGCTGTGACCTGTCCCAAAAAGCCACCCCGCACCCCCTTCCCGCCTTGTGCACCCCCCCCAGTGCCGCTTCCCCCTCGTTCCCTTCACTGTCGCGGGGAAAAGCATCGCCCCCCGCTCCCGGTACCCCTAACCCCACCCCCCAGGAGAAGCCCCCCCCCCCCGGGAAGCCGGGCTTTTCCCCCTCACCCCCCCCCAAAAAAACTTCACGCCCGTCCCGTCGGCGGAGCCCGGCTGCCTGCCGGCTGCCGGGGG